GCTTTCTTCACTTTCCGCCTTTGTGTGAACTTTCACTTGCTGGCCGGTGTTTGAGGTGTTGATTGATATGTGGGGTTTAACGTCCCAGAACCATCATATATGATTATGAGAGACGCCGTAGTGGAGGGCGCCGGAAATTTCGACCACCTGGAGTTCTTTAACGTACACCCAAATCTGTGCACACGGGCCTACAACATTTCCGCCTCCATCGGAAATGCAGCCGCTGCAGCTGGGATTTGATCCCGCGACCTTCGGGTCAGCAGACGAGTACCTTAGCCACTATAGACCCCATGACGGGGCTCTGAAGACACCCAAACAAGAGCGTCATGAAAAGAAATGTTTATTTGGTCATGTTCGCAACATGAAAGCGTCGTTGATATGCAGGCACTACTCCGGAGCACAAAAGCTTGAACAAGGCTTTTTTTTTTCAAGCGACAGGAAGTTTTACTGAGATGAAACCAGTAAGGACAATTTTCGCGTTTGCGCACGATTCATGCGTTGAGCACTTCCACGTGCCCCAGGTGGCACGCAGTATTTATTCCACTCGGTATATTTTGATTACACACGCTCAGCACTCTTTTACAAATGCCTCGGAGAGCAGCGGTGGCTGGACCATATGTTAAGTGACGCAGAAAAAAGAAATAGTTGAGAATACGGAAGTACGGGAAAACACACGCAGCACCACTTACACCACTTTCCTAGTGTCAGCTCTTATACAGGCCCTGCAACACTTTTCTAAGTTGTGTTGACCTCATTTCTGTGGAATTCTTTTTATTGACGAACCTTGTGGCGTAAAAGAAATGGTTCCGATCCGTGAAGTGTGAGCGGAGTTATCACACGAAACGCGCACGTTAATCCCGCCTTACGTAGCCACGAACACGCTGGAAGCTGGCGTTGGCAGGAGTAGCTAGTTTGTGGGTTTGTGGGGTTCTGGAAACTATCGGCGCTGCCCCCTTTTTAAATTTCGTTCTGCCGTTGAGTTTTAGGAAATTGCGGTCGAAAACTTGCCGCAACTAAAGCAACACCAACTTGCCCAACTTTCCTGTTTAATAAAGCACAAAAATATAAGGAGTATGCACAAATCCACGGTTCGTCTCACTAACGTATCGAGCCGGTTTCAGATTAGTGTGTTTTTATATACGTTCGTTAACGTGTTCGTCCTCCAATGGTAATCAGCGCTACAGAATCGAAAGGTGGGCTGGTATATGTATGGATAATGAACTGACAGTTAAATCAGCGCTACGCGTGCGGTTTTCTTTTGGCGCTTCTGCGATCGCGGTTGCCACAGACCTTTGCAGAGTACTCACAACCTTGTGACGCGTATACTACACGTGCCTTTTCATCTCATCATCCTCAATCAACGCCATCTTTTTGTCCACTTCCCCAGCACAGGGTAGCAAGCCGGTCTGAGAACTGGCTAACCTCACGCTCCTTCCGTTTTCTTTTCCTCTCCCTAATCGCCCCACCCCCACCCCTTTTTTTGTAGGCATACAATAACGCCCTAATGCAGGGGCCATACCAGTTCAAAGCCCAGACAGACCTATCAGTATTTCTATACGCAAACAACCTTGCTGTTTCTGTCTCTCCGTAGACGTGTTGCATGTAGCGTAGGTTTTCTTTTTTTGATGACGCACCATTCCCCCCTACCGACGCTCCTTCACCTGGTGAAAGACGGGCATTTGCTGTGTGCTTGATGAACCTCGACTGCAGGCCTCACATGTGGGCCGATGTTGTCGCATAAGCCCTCCACGTGACGGAAATGGCCGGCTCCTCTCCTCTCTGCTTCAACCGCGTTCGTCCCTATAGCATTTGCATGATTTAACACCGCGAAGAACATGCGGTGCGCGGGACGACCTTATCGATTCGGACTTCGTGTGGAGCACGACGGCCCTCCGAGATTGTTCACATAATTTCTATCACTATAAAATCTTACCTAACATGTGCTACCAGCAATCTCATAAAATGCTGGCGCCTCTCTGAAGTGAGCAACTATCGACACACCTTTCTTAACGCGTAAAAATCAGCTCTGTCGCGTTAGCACCACACCACCACTGAGCGCGCACTTTTTCTGGGCTCTCCATGCGTCTCGCAAGTGTAGTGAATGTGCGTTTCGAAAAAAAAAAAAGGGGGGGGGGGGTTGATGATTCAAAGTACTCTCTGTTTCCGGCGGGGTTGAATTACTGCTATCATACTCTCTGTACTGTATGATGGCAGTAAGCCACCCTGAAAACGTGAAGAATGGCATTAAATATACACCAGGAGAAATGCTGGAATAAAGCATAATCTCTCTGCGGAAGATCGCCAACATTCAAAACAAATTGTGAACGTCGTTCGGGAGCACCATACGAACTCTACTACGTATGCTTGAGAAAAGTTCTCGAAAGAGAAGGATCTTCATTCGCCACACTGCCGCACAAACAAATTCAAATTCACACTTGTTTTTCAGAAAAAATGCATACGCACTTCGACTCGGTAAAGGCATCGCGCTTAACTACAGTGTTTTAATGTTTTGAGTAACAGAGAGCTAAATGGTAAGTGTTAATTCTACAAGAGGGCGTGCGCAAGCACACTTTTCCATGTCTTATCTGTACTAGTCTGTACTTATCTGAACAAACCTGCTTCTTAGCTTTTTTTATATTGCCATTCGTTTTTACTGTGGACTTTTTCGTTGTTTTGTCGCCATTTGTGAGGTGTTACTTCTTTCTTGTGCCTTAGATTAAATGCATGCTTGCACACTGTCAAGCAACGCGACATATATAATGTCCTTCGATCCCGCTAGCATATCAACATTCCTCGTATTCATTACACTTACTATGATATAATCTATCCGTACAACTTCAAGTTCCTGCATATAACGACTTAATATCTTTTTTATTTATTTACTCGTGCTGCACCGAAGCTCTATAACGCTTTATCAGATCAAGTTACATCAATAAAACCATTTAATTTTACGATGAACTTGTTCTTCCATACCTGTTTTTGAAAAACGAAGTTGTACGTCAGCATGAAAAAAAAAAAGAATAATAATATTGCAGGTGTTTGCAACAAAGCGTCCTGTAATATCTGTATTTGTTCTTATATGACTTGAAGTTAATTGTTAATCCCCCTGAAGGGAACGGACTCCTGCTACAACTCATTTAAGGTTTCAGGAGCTCTGTAAGTATGCAACTAAACGCATGTTTTAGGATTGATTCATTTATCGATTGATTGATTCGGTCGATCGATTGCAATTAGGACGAGGCACAACTTGCCTCTATCAGATAGTAAGGATGGTAGTCTGCTCCGGAAACGTGATTGATTGATTGATTTGTGGGGTTTAACGTGCCAAAACCACTATTTCATTATGAGAGACGCGCGGAAACGTGCAACAAGCTTATTTTTAGGACCAGAACAAACTTTTCTTTTTTTGCAAAGTAAATCTCCTCTTTTTGAGAAACAGGCGTGGTGACCCTTCGAAGCTTCATTCTAGCAAATGACATTTTTATTTTATATTTTGGTGTACAAGACGACCACCTGCATCAATGCCTACTAAAAATGTACTTGCGCATTAGTTGTCGTGGTCAAGTCAGCTTTTCAACTCTCAATCGACGAACACAGTGAAATATGGGTTGCCATCGTGGTTCGAACGCTCTCTGAGCAACCTCAATAATCATTCCTTACGAGTTTGACGCGTACTTTTATGCACTGTATATAATGAACCATTCTTGTGGTACACTCGACTGCTTCGGTTCTGGCCGATTGAAAATTCCCAATCGGCTTGAACCGAATCAGCCCGTTTTTTTTTTCACAGGACCACATGCTAGCTCCGAGCACTCTGCACGAGGAGATTTCACCTTCTCAGCGCGACAGTCATCTGGTCGACCTCCAGTCAAGGGCTTTTTTTTTATTTGTCGTTCACGTGACGTGGTTCCTTTTCGTGCCAACATTCGCTCGGGCGAGTGCATCTCTTAGGAGGTTCGACCCGTACATGCGCAGTTTGAAAACAGCGCGAAATACGGCGTGGACAAGAAGAGATTAAAGAACGTGCAACTGCGCTGAACTCCCAACTAAATTTCATTTGATATTTCAGGAGCACTTATATGCATATGACGGCATAAATCAACCATTCTGAGTCTCAAAGAAGCCAACAACAAGATTTACATAAAAAACAGCGCCAATAACGAGGGACAAGTATATATATATATATATATATATATATATATATATATATATATATATATATATATATATATATATATATATATATATATATATATATATATATATATATATATATATATATATATATATATATATATATATAGTGCGGTTCCAGCAAATAAATCTTGTTGTAAGTCAGTGCCGCTGTCTGTCTCCTTGTTTTCTTGTCCCTCGTTATTGGCGCTGTTATTTACGTGAATCATGTCGTACCATTTCGGCCAAGCAACCACGTTAACCAACAACAAGCCTACAAATTTTAGGCACTTCCACGTGAACAACCACGTAAAATAACTGCTACGGTCCTTAGTGTTCCAAGGAAAGGTACTCGCTATCATCTAAGATGATGCATAGAGGACTAACGGACTGCTCAACTCCCTTTTTGGTGTTAATAGTCTGAATGATCTTTGCGGGTATTTGATTTTGGTAAACTGACAGCGCCTCCGCTGCATGAAGTGCAGGCTTGCAGCGAGCATTTCGAAACGTGTTTGGCCACATGCAAGTGAGACTAGCTTGCAAAGAACGCCAGTTGCGAGTTCAGTGCTGTGGTGTATCTGTCGTTTAGTGTCCTCTTGTCCCTGCCACATTTTGCACGGTTTTCAATATGTTCAAAAGCTATTAGCAACTATCCCAGCTCTCAATTCTTCGACCCACACACTCTTCGTCTGGCTGGGACACGGAGGTATCTCCTCGCTGTTACAGTCTACGTAACAGCCGAATGTACCATCGGTCAACCATGACTTGGTCCGAGAGAACAAGGAAATGGACGGTCGAGAAAAACGACGTGTGAGCAAAGTAAGCGCGGGCCCCTTCAGAATCGCATGATCCTGGCCAGAATGAGCCAGAAGATGGAGGTGAAGAGGCACAGGGCGATTCCCAGCCAGGACAGCGAAGCGGCCCAGTCGCGGGCGAAGCGGCGACTGCGAAGGAACTCGGAAGGCAGGCCCTGGTCGAAGTCGGTGCCCGTCAGCACGCCCTGGGGCACGGTGCGCTTGAAGTGCATGAAGCAGCTCGTGAACGTCGCGAACACGGCTGCGACAAGAAGGAGGCGGGAAACGACAGAAGGCACCTTATGTACGTCAGTGCGTTTGTGAATAACGAAGCCGACGGTATTTCTAGTTTACGGCATCACTGGAGAAGATGACGCAGATCAAGAATAGTGTCCAAACTGATTTTTTTTTTACCATAAAGGCAACTATTGCAGTTAGAGTGCCGTGCCTAAATAAACACTTATGAGAGACTTACGATAGGCCACGACAACAAATTAGAATCTATCTATCTATCTATCTATCTATCTATCTATCTATCTATCTATCTATCTATCTATCTATCTATCTATCTATCTATCTATCTATCTATCTATCTATCTATCTATCTATCTATCTATCTATCTATCTATCTATCTATCTATCTATCTATTCTCACTCACCAGCGAGTATGAACATCACGCCGGTGACCATGACGGCGGACAACTGCCGCTTGCAGATGCCGAAGCCGCCGACCAGCGCGCTCGCGCCAACCAGGATCAAGCTGACCAGCGAACACGACATGGCCAGGTTCTTCATTTCTGCACCACACGAGACGCACAAAGAGATGATGACAGCGATCTGAAACTCGCGACTTAGTGCGTGGTTCAATGCAAAAAAAAAAAAGAAGAAGCTCTTTCCAGCCTATAGTTTATAAACACCCCAGCAAACAGGTCAGGTAAAGTTTGAAAGAATTGCCTAGGTTAACATCCGGGCTTTTACGAGCCAATATCCCGATACGATCACGAGGCACACTGTAGTGCAGCGCTCCGGAAATTTCTACCGTATGGTGTTCTTTAACATGCACTGACATCCCGCAGTACAAGAGCCTCAACCATTTTACCTCACTCGCAATGCGACCGACGCGGCCAAGACCGAATCACCAGCCTTCGGATTAGCAGCCGAGCACTATGATAACTATTACATCACCGCGGCGAACGACCTCGCGTACACTTGAAACATGACAGGTGCTGTCTCCGTTAGCTGGGCGAATACGCTGGAAAGGAAAACGCTTTTGCGGCCAATCAAAAAGTACCTTATATCCCACGGCTACATCCACCTGCAACCTACTTTTTTTTTTTACTAATCTTTGAGGAGACATTGCGAGACTTCATGAAACTGCCGCGAGATTTTTCTGAAAAGCCCACGAGACCCTGTCTGAGACGGCGGTATATGGAGAGGTAAATGGTAGTTGTTACGTCATCCTGTCGTCCCAGATAACCAAAATTCAGGACGTCATCAAATGACATCTTCGCGTGGGCGAAATTGGGACGATGCGGGTGGCGCCATGGGTGACAGCGGTTCTCTCCGTCGGGCGGGCAAGGTCTGTGACGTCACGAAGAGCGTGCGAGTGCCTTCTCTTGAGGGACGCTCAACGCAAAAGCTATGAATCCATGACTGCGACCGGCCTCATAGCGGCACTGTCCCGTGTACAGCACCGACTGAAAGAGTGCATGCGCCCCCTGCTGCCACTGCACGAACGCGCAAGCTGCGCCTCATGCAGGCGATACCGTCCCTCTCTGTCGGGCAATATCTGCGCACTCGGTCTTTCCGCCAACGTGGACGCCTCTGAGGAGACTCGCCGAGAACGACAGCACGCGTTCGCCTGAGAACGGCAGTGCCATCGAGTAGTGGATCCCGCCGTCAGGGCTAAGCGAGCTTAGCCCAGACGAATACGTCAGGGCGAATACGTCGACTTACTTTACTAGAAAAGTTAATTAGAGCGTGAAAACTTGACACGATCACTCACACACGCACACACGCATGCACCAAACACACAGCGCTCATTTCCAACTGATTTATTCGTAGCTCGAAGGCTCGAATATATACAGGACACATTGTGCGCACACACACCAAAGAAGGCCAACAGCATACATTATCAAAACGTACAGTTAATCAATGTCATAGCCTTAGAGCGATAAACTGAAGTTCGCTTGGTAACAACGAAATTGAAGGGGCGCTTACACAGTGATCTTTATTTTTTTCAATGAAAAAGGCTTCTAACACTTCACGTGCAGTTTTACTTGCGCTTCTGCCCAGAATTTTCGTTTCAGAAAATCGTGCGTCACAACCACACGAGATGACATGCGCAACCAGGTGCGCATACTTGTCATCTCTTTTCGTTATTTTTTGGGCGCGTTCCCTTTGTTGTGTGTGCGCACAATGTGTCCTGTATATATTCGAGCCTTCGAGCTATGAATAAATCAGTTGCAAGTGAGCGCTGTGTGTGTTTGATGCATGAGTGTGTGCACGTGTGAGTGATCGTGTCAAGTTTTCGCGCTCTAATTAACTTTTCGAAATGATCTACCAACTAGCCCAACAACAAGTTCTCTTACTTTACTAGAAGGGGACACAGCCATCAAGCGGCAACAACGTAAGAAAAATTGCAAGGTGACAGTCACAGAAACACAAGCGAAGCGCCGGTATCGAGCCGATCCCGAGCTGCGGGCGCGAAAAAAATGCCGCGAAAAGACAAACACCGGGCATGCATTACACTTTCCCTGATTTCACTGAGTGGGACCTGCCCACAATTTTAAATGCGAAGCGTTTCTTAGCAAACTTCGGCGACTTTGAGCGTATTCATCTGGCCGCTTACGTTTGGGTGCTCTCGTGGTCACCCCTTAACTTGGCGTGAACAAAAATTAGCATGGGAGGGTGAGATGGTTTGGTGAATATGACGCGCTGGACAAGACACGAATAATATCGCAATCCCGTCACGTACGTCGTCAAACACTTCCCGCCAGACAGTGGCACATACCCACGGGCGGGTATGTGCCGCTGGTATGCGGATATGTGCCACAGGTCACTGACACTTAGCATCTACCCAGGAACGACGAGAACACATATGGGAAATTTCAACGCCCGAGAATTAAGAAATACTCGACATCAATAGCGTCGACTCGACGTATGCAAAGAATAAATGTCAGGGTCCCAGCTGAAATCGAACCCGAGCATTCTGCGTGGTAATGAAGCATTTTACCACAGAGCTACGCCAGGTCTCGGAATTATACTTTTAAAATAGATGCTAATCTTCGTGAAACGTCAATAGTGGTTGCAGTGCTGCCTACCCAATTTTATGAACATTACATATGTACTGCTTTGATACAGCCGTCACGTCGGGTTAACGTCAATTGTGGTCAGTTTTCATGCGCTGAAGTTGATTTATGTAGCAGTGCCCGGGGCCAGCATCCTCGTGAGCATGCCCCATCGCGGTGGTCTAATGTCTAAGGTACTCGGCTGCTGACCTGCAGGTCGCGGGATCGAATCCCGGCTGCGGCGGTTTCATTTCCCATGGAGGCGGAAATGTTGTAGGCCCATGTGCTCAGATTTGGGTGCACGTCAAAGAACCCCACGTGGTCGAAATTTCGGAGCTCTCCACTACGGCGTCTCTCATAATCATATGCTGGTTTTGGGACGTTAAACCCCACATGTCATATCATTCTCGTGAGCATCAGCGCTTCATATGAGCTTCTGGTGTTGCTAATACACATGTTCCCTTTGACATTGTTGCGCAAGTGCAAAAAACTGGTTATATAAACATCTGCAACTCTTCAGCATATGTCTGTGCGTGTAACATTTGTACATATATTTAACGTAATTCTATGACAAGTCTCTCATTGAAAAAATTCCAACATGGTCAACTTCCCTCCGCATGCTTCGCATAACGTCAATTTCCAGGTACGTGGTATTTGCCCTTTTTTTTTTTCTTTACGAATCAGCATTGAAGTGGTCACTGTCTCAAAACTACTTTCCCGACCATTCTTGAATAGCCCTGGTATCTACAACTTACTACCTCATCGTGTTCAATTAAAGAACTTCAGCCATGAATAACGTTTATCAGAATACTTGTTTTACGCTGTGTGAGCGGACAAGGGTAAATAACTACCGAGAAGGAAACTGTCACAAGAGCTGGAGAAGTAATGATGGCTATATAGATAAATGATAGTAATTGTATTCGGCTCCGATGATGGTACTGTAGAATACGTGCGGTATATCTCCGCTGGCCATGCAGTGGGTTTCGGAGTTTTTCGTAGCCCTGATTGCATCATCTATCACGGGATGGCTTTCAGCTCTCCCATAATAGAGTACCGAGTACTCTAAATCGTTAAACAGTTTTTCTAAACACACATAAACACACATAAACACACATTGAATTGGATTCGGGAGATCACGACGGGGACAGCTAATGGCTATCCTGTAGTGGAGAACGCATAGTGCTTATGTTCACAGTTTATTTTCACCATAGTCTGTTTCCTGCAGTGGAATACTCGTTACTCTATCGTTGACTATTAGTTGTAATCACGCGTAAAGCCAAACTATTTGTCCTCATTTTCATAAAAGACGACACAGCTACTTGAATTCTTTGACAAACTACTCTAAACCACGTGCTTTAATTTGTTATTTGTTTTTGTAAACGTGAATTTCGGTGCCTTTTTCGCCTCGTCGAACTAGAAAAGCACATCAGGCATACTGATCTTATAGTAGACTACCAATGACACTCCAAATTGTTAACCATTTGTTTTAAACGCCAAGCTCTCCAACCCATCTTGCCAATTTACTCTGTACCTTCGGCCTTGTTTTCGAGTTAGCAACTGCTTTCGCACAGCACACATATCATCAATCATTTTTAAATGCGAAGCATTTTTTAGCGAACTTCAGCGACTTTGAGCGTATCTATCTATCTATCTATCTATCTATCTATCTATCTATCTATCTATCTATCTATCTATCTATCTATCTATCTATCTATCTATCTATCTATCTATCTATCTATCTATCTATCTATCTATCTATCTATCTATCTATCTATCTATCTATCTATCTATCTATCTATCTATCTATCTATCTATCTATCTATCTATCTATCCGCCTACGACTTTCAGCTCTCCTGACCGTTTCGATAATGGCATCAAAACCAACTTGGTATGGCATAACATGACTGTACGAAGAACATATGTGACTAGTCATAACATGAAAATCACTACATGCATGTCATGAATGTCCTGATTCACATTTAATGGTCCTGCAGCTCTTGCGGTGGTTTCGTTCACATGACATATGGCAAAACTGGTATGGTATGGCATGATTGCATGGCGAACACAAGTGACAAACCCTAACAGGAAAATCTTGACATGCGTGTTATGTAACAACATGACTACATGCCACGTTCATGATGCGCTCGCGGCTGTTTCGCTAGCGTCACATTTACCAAATTTGGTATTACAGTACGTGAATGTGTGACGAAGGTATGTGACTGGTGCAAACATGATAATCATGAGATGCGTGTCATGTAACAGCATGACTACATGCCATGCTCATGATGCGCTGGCGGCCATTTCGCTAGTTTCACTTATACCAAATTTGGTATTACGGGACGTGAATGGATAACGAAGGTGTGATACCGGTGCTAACATGATAAACATGAGATGCGTGTCATGTTGATTGATCGATATGAGGGGTTTAACATCCCAAAACCCCCACATGATTATGAAAGACGCCGTAGTGGAGGGCTCCGGAAATTTCGATGCGTGTTATGTAAC